AAAGATGGACATAATAAAGGACAAAAATGGTAGGGACCTCACAGAAGACACCAAGAAGAAGTGGCAAGAATACAATGAATTATACCACAAAGATTTTGATGTCCTGGACAACCCAGATAGTGTGGTTGCTGACCTTTAAAAAGACAACGCTGTTAAGGCACTACACTCAATATGGCAGCAAGTTTGGAAAACTCAGCAGTGGCCAGAAAATTGGAAAAGATCAGTCTACATCCCAATCCCAAAGAAGAGCAGTGCCAAAGAATGCCCTTCCAGGTATCTGGACCGAAAACTCCCAGAAGTACAAGCTGGATTTTGAAGGGGCAGAAGAACTAGAGACCAAATTGCTAACATGCGCTGGATTATGGAGAGAGCCAGAGAGTTTCTCCAAAACTACACAAAAGCCTTTGACTGTGTTGACCACAACAAACTATGGCAAGTCCTTAAAGAAATGGGAGTGCCTGACCACCTTGTCTATCTCCTGAGAAACCTATATGTGGGACAGGAAGCAACAGTTAGAACTGGATATGGAACAACTGAATGGTTCAAAATTGGGAAAGGAGTACGACAAGGCTGTATATTGTCCCCCTGCTCACCGCCCTGCCAAAGTTACACCATTTGTGTAAAGTGACAAGAGGATTCTGGCCTCCATTCACTACAACCCCAAGCAAGATTCTTGACCCAGAGCCTGGTGCAAAAGCTACATATGGCTTCAATTCTGAGCCCAGAAATTCATTCTGAGCCCCAGGAATGAATTCAGCTCACTGTCCTTCTGCCTAAGGAACCCAATCCCGGTCTCCTTGGATTTTCTCCTTTCAGGAGTAACAAAGAACTGCGGGATCGCTCAGTGGCTTAGGTCCCCCTGGCTACGGAGCCAGAGGTTGGGAGTTCGATTCCCCCACTGGGGCCTCCTTGACATGACAGTGGATGGACTGGATGACCCCCAGGGTCCCTTCCCGGTTTGCGATTATTATTATGATTTAAGAAGAAGAAGAAGGGGCAATTGGTGTGTTGCTACCATGAAAAAAAGGGGGGAGAATATTAGAAATCCTTTCCAGTTTCCTGGAAATAGGAGGAAGAAGAAGAAGGGTCAATTGGGGTGTTGCTACCATGAAAAAAAAGGGGGGGATAATTAGAAATCCTTTCCAGTTTCCTGGAAATCACTAGCAGGTCAAAGAAGGGGACACCAGTATCTACCTACCTACCTCCCCCCCAGCTCCAACCCTCTCTACAGCTCCCCACGACGTGCCGCAGAGGAAGGCTGAGAAGGAATCAATGCTACCTCTTTGTCCACGCTCTCCGTGGCCATGCACTGGTTGTTGGCTAACGTGGTGATCTCCCGGCTTTTGGGGGTTTCCATCCGACAGCTGCAGAGGGGCACCTCCTGAAGGCTGTCCGCCTCCGTGGCTCTGGGGCCGTTGGAAAGACCTGGGGAAATAACGAAGAAGCATTAAAAGAAGAAGCTAGCAAATCCACTCTGGACTGCCAGAAAGACCAGCCAGTGGGTCCTCGAGATCAAACCAAGCCTGAACTCTCTCTGGAGGCAGAAATGTCGAAACGGAGGGCTGGTCCTGCTTCGGGCACATCCCAAGAAGGCAGGATTCCCTGGAAAAGAACATCCTGCTGGGAAAGGTGGGAGGCAACAGGAAAAGAGGAAGGCCCCAATGTGAGATGTATCAACTCCCTCAAGGAAGTTTGCAAGAGCTGAGCAGGGCCCGTTGAGGACAGGGCATTTTGGAGAGGGCTCATGGACAAGCTCGCCAGAAGTCAGAAGCAAAGTGACAGCCCAGGACAACCGATGCAAATCAACTCATCTTCACTAGGCCCTGAGAAGCGTGTAGGTGCCGAGCGGGACGGAGGGGCAGGCAAAGCACAAATGCCAGACTGCAAGGAACCCCTAGCGTTGGCACCGGACGCAACTTAAGGATGATCTTTCAGCAACTGAGTCACCAACCTCTGCATCTGTTGTTGTCCGACGGGGGCAAGAGAGAGCATCCAGAGATCTGCACACTCTTTTGTCTGCTGGTCTATTTGTTGCCTTTCCTTCTAATCTGGCAAAGCTGCCTGGGAACGCTTCCCATTTCTGCAGCTTCCCAGACACAAAGCTTCCTGGAACAGCACCGGGCCAGAACCTTCTTGCCAATTGACTCTTGCATCAAGGAAAACCATGTTAAAATCATGACGGGGAAACTCCCGCTAATTAGCAAGGCGCTAACGGGTGCATATCTGGGCACCCACCTGTCTGCGTGATCTGGGTTCGAATGCCCAGCTAGCTGTGACATTCACAAGACGAGTCTGGGGCCTGTCAGGATCTCTTAAGCGAAACCCAACTCACGGTGTGTGCGCGAGGGAAGTCATGAGGATCCCGTTGGGACACGGAGAACCCAACAGGCCACCTCGAGAGGAAAGGCAGTAGACAGAGAAAGAATATTAGGGAAAGAAGAACAGGTCTTGTAACTGGAAAATAAAAACGCACACAGTTTCATATTATGAGAGAGAGAGAGCCATGCTGACTTTTATTGTGTTGGCCCAACCATCCAACTTAGTCTCCGTGTTCCCTCTGGAGGTTTTCCACATCAGCCCACCCCCCCCAGCCCTGGAGCAGGGCAGCCAGCAAGCGAGAATCGCTGGGAGTCGTCATCCCAAATGTCGGAAGGGCACCAAATTGAGGAAAGCCGCTCCGGCTGAACTCCACGGAGTCCGGGGCACCAGACACACCACAGGTTCTTTTTTCCAAAACAGCCTCTTTCTTCGCCCCAAACGAAGGACACTGCCTAGAACGAGATGCCTGGGCTCTCCTGGCTGCAGCTGAAGGAGTCAGAAGCCACGGCGGCCTCAGCGGATCCTCGGTCCTTCCCCAGAGCAGAGAAATGTGCAGCAGGTGTCACTGGAAATCCACTTACTGGC